TGGCCTGCAACGCGCCCTCGCCAGCCAGCCCAGAGGTTCTGTCTGCAGTTTCACGCCCGTTGCCGAGCGCCACCTGGCGGGCGCTTTGGTGCCGTCTCGGAAGGTCTATTTGATGTCTGGACAGGGAGCTGCTGAATTTGAAGGTTAGAGTTAAAGTTTAGCTGGAGATTAAACAGAGTCCTGAGATTTTTTTTTCCCTCTACTCTTGACATTACTGCCATTATTTAGTGTATTTAGGTACTTGCTGTTTCATATGGCTTCTATGGAGCCAGATCTCAGAAACTTATTGAAGGGGACTTGGACAGGAGCTGAGGACCACGGGTGCACACACTGGCTGGGCAACATGCAAAACTGGAAATACCCGGGCAAACTGACAATATGGCTACCAGGCCACATGAGGAATAGCCTTCCTTTTGTGCCCATGTTCCTGACTCCCAGAAATCACTCTAGAAAACACCCCTTGTGGCAATTTTAAAAATATGAGTTGCATTAAGGCTGAGCCAGATCTGATCTATTTCATTTTAAACTTTTTTTTTGCTTTTTAAAGCCATACTTGAAATGGAACCCAAGGTGTTTGCACTGAGCTGCGTACCATCCCTTTTTTAATTTTGAAAGTTTCAACAGGGTCTCGCTAAGTCACTAAGTTCCCAGGCTGGGCTCAAGCTTGCAGTCCTCCTAGCTCAGCCTCGCAGAATGCTCAGATTACAGGTGTGCGCTGTTGGAACTGGCTTAGACCATTTATTAACATTATTTTAAAATTCATTTCAGTATTTATTTATTTGCAGAGCTGGGGATAGAACCCAAGGTCCTACACACGCTACGGAGGTACTCCATCTCTTCACTACCCTCAGCCCTAGATCTAGTCTTTGGCCCCACTGTTTCTTTTTTCTTTTTTCCCACATGGCTTCTTCACATTTGGGCTGTTTTCTTTCTTTAGACAGATATTCTGTGGCTCTGTTCCATTATGCACAGGTGCACAGAGGTACAAAGATGTGGTGTTTTAGCCTTTCTTGTGCATGAAATGGCCTCAAGTATGGTGGGAATCAGGCTTCCTGTCTATTGGCAGCACATCTAGTGAACCTATCATTTTGTTATATTTTGAGGTGTTCTTAAAATCTCCTTCTTCCTTCTTCTTTTCCTCTCTGTGTCTCTCTGTCTCTGTCTCTCACGCTCTCTTTGAATTTAGAGGTCAGACCCTACTGCCCTTACTTAGTAATTTGTCTCTAACTGCTGAATGGCATAGCTATTACCCCAGAGTTAGGGACTATTATGGTTTAAGTAGGAAGTGTCCCTCAAAGTCTCATGCATTGAAGGTTTTATCCCCACTGCAGCAAAGTCCAGAGATGGAGTTTAGAGAGGTGATAAAATCATGAGGGTACGCACCTCATCAGTGGGCTGATCCATTGAGTTCATAGCGGACTGGGCTATTAGGAGAAGCAACATGGGCTGGTTGGAAGAGGTAGGTCACTGGGGTGTGGCTTTGAAGGTCTATCTCTTCTTGGATTGTTTACCTTTTTTCTGTCTCCTGGCTGCCATTAGGTGAGTAGTTTTCTTCTACCTCATCCCTCTAGCATAATGTTTCTTTTTTTCTTTTCTTTGATACTGGGGATCTAACTTGGGTCCTTGCACTTGTGAGGGAGGTGGTGGAACCACTAAGCTAAATCCTCAGCCCTCATAATGTTTCTAATTGGAGCAAAATGGTGGTGGGCTGAAACATCTGGAACAATAAGTAAAAAACCATTCCTCTTTTAAACAGTGTGTCAGAAATTTTGACCCAGAAAGAGAAAAGTGACTAATACAGGCAACATAAAGGGCCATATTTTTTATTTCTTCAAGACACTACTACTCCACTTGTCTTCCTTTACTGACAATTCATAGTGTATCTATCCTATTAAATCATGTAATGTCATGGCCAAGGTTCACACAGAAAATGGCTACAACTAATGTCCTATTCTCTCCCTCCTCTGTTTTCTCTCTGCTTTGTTCTGTCGTCCTTTCTAGTTCTCTGGCTCTGGGGAACCATTGCTATTTCTGTGTCTTCCTGGAGAGGCTGATGAGTCTTCAGAGAGAGAAAGGACAACAGTCAGAGGAGACGGTGGGCTTCTGTACTAACTGAGTCTTTGCCTGTAACCACGTGACAGAGCCTGAGAGCAGATTCTGTCAGAGGGGCACATCCACTGAACCTACAGCAAGGCCTCCTGAGATATCATGGAAGAAGCCACCGCCCCGGAAAGCCCCCTGGATCCCTGCTCCACAGAAACTCTGAGAGAACCAAACTTGGCCTGTTGCATGGGATACGTTTGAAGGTGTGTTTCATACATAAGTGGGTCACTGATACACTATAGCAGACCTGCGATTCTGGCCCTGCTCTGGTCTCTCCCTCCTCTCCTTTCCTCCCTGATTCTCTCCAGCCACAAGGTGCCCGCTTCTCACCTCTTTTCTGACTTAAGAACAATTTTGATTTTAAATCTCCAGATCCCTGATCCCTGGCCACTGCCACACACTCCCAGCCTTGGGTAGGACTAGGTCCCTCTTGTCATCAGCTACAGGCATCAGTGTCACCTCAGGGAGGCCTTTTCAGTTGCCCCCATGTGGTGGCCTCAGCCCTCTGTGTGGCACTGCTTTATTAGGTAACCTAGCACTCGGTCATCTCTTCCACTACATTCCTTGGGGCTTTGTCCCTCTCCTCCTCCAGGCTGTGAGCTCCTAGATGGCAAGTAACATATTGGCCTTTTCTGTGCAGGTCCCAGGGCTCATTCAGCCCAGGAACAAGGTGAGAATTTTAGGCATAGTGATTAATTAAAGAAATCAGGGAACTTTCCCTCTGAACTACCCGTGTGTCGCACCTATGACGTCACTGAGTGCAAGAGTGTGTGTGCGTGTGTGTGTGTGTGTTTATAGGTGTGTGTGTGTGTGTGTGTGTGTTTATAGGTGTGTATGTACCCTTTGGGATGCTGCTTGAAATCATTTCCCCATGGAATGTTTCTCAAGAGGGCACCACCAACTTGGGGGCTGCTCCTCCAAAGCCTTCAAGTTGTCTGAGTCCTTTGCTATGAGCTCTTTCTCCTCTGAACTTTTCCATTCTCCTGGGTACTCTGCCCATGATCTGTGCCTTTTCCCTAGCTGTGACCCTCTGTGGGCCTCAGTTCCCAAATATCCCACGGATGTAGAATCACACACAGCCCTGTAGTGTGGAAGTGCTCTCTTGCTGAGCACCGTGGTGCCAGAGGGTCACATGGTGTTCTCTCCACCTCTGCACCAGCACCATCCACACAGCCTCTGATTTGGGTGATATGGATACAATCCCTCCTTCTAAGGCCATCATCTTCAAGTCACCTCACGCTGCCAATGTCAACTACAGCCCATTAGGCAGGGTGTTGCCTGGGCTTGGAGGCAATGTCAGCACTGCCTTGCCTTAAGCCTATGCCACTTCACAGGTCCACTTCCTTCAAGGACCCCAGGCAACTCTACACCACCCATCGGATCCAGAAGCTGCCACTTGGCCTGCACTGGGGATCCCAAGTCTGAAGGAATATGCCCGCTCTTTGTGGAACCTCAGTGGGCTCTGCACCAGTGATCAGCCTGACTTCTCCTGATGCCCAAGCACCCAGAGGCAGTACAGTGCCTGGCCCTTGGGGGAACAACTTTAGCCTGGTCCACATATAGCATGGGGGAAATTGCTCAAGGGGCTTCTGTGAATGCTACAGATGACTCCAATCATGGCACTGCTAGCAGTGATGGCATCACACGCAGAACCAGGATGAACAGCTGCAGGAGCAACACCTTGGCCTCTGCCAATAGCCCACCAGGCCCAGTAACAATCACGGCAACTACAGATCCCACACAGGGATAGAACGTGGGTTTGGCAGGTCCACTCTGGTTCCAGGTACAGGTCTATATCCCAGTAAAAAATATTTCAGATTGAAGACACCCCTCTGTGGGAGGAAAAAAGAGCTGTTTAATCATCACCACCTTCCCTGGTGTAGACGTGAACCTGGTGAGTTTGAGTTCTGGGCTGGCTTTTGGTACCTTAGACCTGGCTGATGTCCACTGCTCTTTCTCAATGCCCATTTGCCCACACCTGTTTGCCTCATGGCCATTCTAGTCCTCCCTGTCATTATGTACATAAGACCCCATTATTTTTAATCTGCCTGTGTTCATGTGCCTTCTTTGTTACTTGACACAACTACTGGGGAAGAAATGTCTTACAGGTGGTGATGTGATGAGCCAGACTTCATGCACATTCACTGTGTCCTAAGCAAGGTAGGGTGAACGGGCATGTTCATGACAGTGTGTGGAAATAAACTGCAGGAGACTGCAATGGACATGCCCCATGCTGAAGTAGACTTTCGATTCTGGGTTGGTAGACTTTTCTCGAAATACTCTGCTGGGCCTCATGTTTTAATGGTTGATTTATGTGGAATAGATATAAATGACCTGAATAAAATTAATCAGTAGGATTTGGTAAATTTGGACATGCATATTCCAATACAGCCATGATCACAAGTATGACAACAATGAAGATATCAGTGACTTTTAAAAGATTCCTCCTTCCCTTTGTGATGCCCTCCCAAGTGTTCATGAATACATGAATGAGAAATTGATGCGATCCATCTAGAATTTTCCAAACCCAGATGAATCCAACTCTTCCAAGACTCTATTGCCTAAGAGAAATCTGTTCGCAGTGTTGTGAAAAATGTAGAATAGGTAAATTGCAAAGACATAGGAGAAACGGTAGCCAGGAACTCTCAGGAATGGTGGGAACAGATACCTTTGAATGCAGAATAAAGGAAAACATTTTGGAACTGGGCAGTGGTGAAGGTTGTGCAATACTGAGAATGCACTTCATGCCACATCAATAATTGCAACAATGTGAACAATTCTAACATTTAAGTAAGACTAAATCTTAACAACATCATAAATGACTGAGAACACACTCAGAATGCACCAAGCGGATCATTGTAAATAAGAATAAAATCTTAAATTTAATTTACATTAATTCAATCATTGACCTGTCTCCGGGAAGTAAGTGCAGCAATCAGCACAATAATAACTAAATCAGTAAGGCAGGGGAACGGCAGGTGTGGGTCAAGAGCTGACCTCAGGTGGAGCTCAAGTGAGGATCCCTGCTGTGGAGCCAGGAGTTCCAGCTCTGCAGCTGGTGGAGCAGGGCTTCCAGGTGCTGGCTCCTGCTGTGGGGCCAGAGCTGCTGAGGGAGCTGCAGGTGGAGGTGGCACCAGGTCAGCAGGTGGGACTTCAGCGTGGTCTAGAGCTGGCACTGCAGTTGCAAGAGGAGAAAAGATCACTGACTGTCCATGTTCCTTCCTGGGGCACAACCCACTGCCTGCCAGAGACAGCTGTGTGCACCAAGACAGCCCCAGGAAGTCCTCCCAGTCTGCATCCCCACACTGACTGCCCAGTGTCTCAGTGTTACTGGGCCCCTGAGCAGCTCAAAGCTTTGCTGTGTTTCAAGACCCATATCTTACCTACAGGCCCACAGATACACAGACTCATACCACCATCTTCCTCATCCTGGGGCTCTGCCTCCGGGAGTTCAGGGGGCTCCAGCTGGTCCAGGAGAAGCTCCTCGATGAAATCTATCTGGGAGTTCCACTCTAGTGAGGAGTCTGGAACAGCAGAAGAGGACCTGGGGAAGAAAGGTAGGTAGCAGCTTGAGATGACTGGGCTTTCTTTCCATAGCACCTGTGCAGGGCACCTGCTGCTCTGAACATGTGGGCCTCCTGCCTAGTCTGTGCAGTGTCCAGCCCCACCGGCTCCCCATCCACAATGGCACAGGCAGTCCCAGGCAGCCCTGAGAGGCTCACAGAAGGCTTCAAGTGAGGGAGTCCTTATTTAGTGGGGTGGCACCTCTCTGTCTTCTTAGGGAAGCCTGACACAATGTCTCTCTGGCCCTCTCCACTGGCCGGTCAGCTCCATGAGCACAGCGATTGGTCTGTGCTGGGTCCTTGGACTCGAGGGCTCAGGGCTGCTGCTCCATAAATGTCTGAGAAGTGTGTGGTCAGTAAGAGTCTGTGAGTAGCAGTGAGTGTTGAGTCTGTAGCTCATGCAGCGATGTGTGGCTCATGTCTCTGTGCCTTTTCTGGCCACCTCTTGCACAGTTTGTATCTACATCTAGGGAGGACAGGCAGTTGTCAAATCGACTGTCATGTGAGCAATACGTGTTCTGCTGCCATGGCTGACTTGTGGCGTCCAACACTGGAACACTAAAGGGGAAGGTTTGCATCTGCTCTGCTTCTAAGCTCATGGTTAGTACCTAGAAAAGTGTCTGCGCCCAGTGTCTCTTCATGTGCATTCACGCATTGATGATACCCACCTGCTGTTCCTGTCCGGGAAGTCCTGTTCCAGGGGCTCCATCCCGGTGTGGGGTGGCCCTGCCTGCACTGTGCTCACTGAGCAGAGCTCTGCCAGGCTGTCAGCTGAATGATTTCCATTCTATGAAGAGAAAGTTGGACACATGGAATCAGTATTCCAAAACTTGATCTAAAGAATTTGGAGCTGAGGCGAAGACCACAGTCCACATGGTCCATACAGGCTCATTCCAGAGGGGTCACAGGAAGGACAGAGAAGAAAAGGGATTCTACTATTAAAAGTTAGCATTTACAAGAGACACTAAGGACTCATCGCATGTTCAGAGCGGTTCCTCAGAGGAGGAGAGGTTGTATATAACTCTATGCATGAAGAGCAACAGCCCAAGATACCTGCATTGACCTCCCAGTGTAGAAATGAGAAGACAGAGGCTCCTCCATGATCTCACTTTGTTTTATGAGGTCACACAGAATGGTCCCCTGGTTTCTGATGAAAAGTCCCCAGGAAAGAATCAGCCTTAGCCTTGGAAGGCCGAACGGCTATGTTCAAGGCCTCATTCATCCAATGACAAGGGCCCGATCCTGTTAAAGAATCAGCCTTAGCCTTGGAAGGCCGAACGGCTATGTTCAAGGCCTCATTCATCCAATGACAAGGGGACCCGATCCTGTGACCTGCAGGGCCTGCATGAGTTCTGTGAGACAGCAAGTCCCAGAGGAAAATAGAGCAAGTATCATAGCCTGATGTGTCGGGTAAGCACAGCGCTGCTTCTATGATGATGTGTAAGGGCTGGAGACAGGGGTGAGGGAAGGACAGTTGGGGCAGTGCCACAGGGACACTTGGTCTAGGATTACAAAGAGGTGAGATGGGAATTACAGCATGATAGGAAATGAAGCGACTTAGCATCTGTGTCACTTTCTCCTTCTCCCACCAACGTGTGGACAGTGACCTGAACCTGGCAAAGGTAGAGGCTGAGCAGAGAGGACCCCAGAATTTTTGGGAGCAGGACTATAGGCCCGATGTTTGTCAAGCCCTGGAGGGAGGTGCTGATTATGCTGTGTGGCCCCACAGTCTTCTCTGTCCTCCACGGGCCTCAGTACTGAGTCCCCTCTGCTCACAGGTAGAGCCTGAGCCCAAGCTGGCCCAAGTTGACATTGTGGGGCCCCAGTGTCCGGTTCAGGCCCAGGGCAGACAAGATACCCAAGGACCAGCTCCATGGGGGCGTCGTGCGTGCAAGTGTGTTATGCCAAGGCCCAGCAGCTGGCAGGAAGCATGAGCCCTGCCAGATGACCATTGACACAGATTTTACCCAGATAACCTTGTGCTCCCCAGAAGCTCCTTTACAGCTTTCTCCCTGTTGTGGGCAGGGTACTGCCCTCCTCCTGCCAGCCCTCTCCTGGGTGGGTGTCTGACGGGACCCCCGGCTCTTCCAGGAGGCTCCAGGAGGAGGTTAACTAATGATCTTGTCCCGCCCAGTACTCTAACTCATGGTGACCTAGGTAGGAGTAGTTCAGGTCAACTCAAAGTGGTAACCAGGCATAAATGGACCTGTCCAGGACTCAGTGGCTCCGAGCTGCTGGTGGCTGAGCCTAGGGACACCTTCCCTGGGCTCCCTCTTGTCTTTGGGCCCCCGCGGCCTGGGACTGGTGAGACCTGCTCTGTGCTGCCCATGGCAGTTGGGCAGTTCCTGGCCAGGGTTCTGAAGTGTCTGGGCTGAGTGAACCATCCTCTCACCTGTTGCCTGGTGCTTTCGCTTCTCTGGGTCCTGGGCCTGCGGCCTTGAGACCTTGGAAAGCAGCACAGCATGTTCTCTAATGACTGTCTCCAGCCACGTGACTGGGTAGAGAGTTGTCGCTGCTTTGTGGTGCCAGTTGACTACAGGGTTCCAGGTTCTGTTTGGACTCATCACCAGGAAGTGAGGTCATATGTTCAGGTCCATAGCTGAGCCTCCCCCTCGTATGAAAAGATCCTACAGCGCCCCTCTCTTTTCCTAGTGGAGTTAACTTCTTTAAAAGACCAAGAGAAAAACCTAGAAAAACCGTCTACAATTTTAGACTACTGAATTTCTATGTTTTAATGCAATAAACAGGTAGCTGCTTAAGATGTGTCAGGCATTCTCTGAAGATTCAGGGTTCAGTGTCATGGTTTAGGTATCTGTCAGATTTGAGGATGATATTCTCTACTGGCTTGATTTTAATTTCATTCCAATTGCAAAAGGGAGCATGGAGATTTTCCCCAAATGCCCAGAACAGTTTCCTTCAAGGATATAAAACTTTCCTATTATAGTCCCTGTATATCAAGGAGAGGAGAATTCATAGCAAGTTTCAACACTCAGATGCGTAGGAATGATTCCTTATTCATACACAGATACTGAATGGAATCACACACTGTAGCATGCAGTACTGTGCCCGGTGTGAGGAGGACAGGGGCGGTGATTGCAAAGGGAAGCCATTGTGAGGCTGTGGAGACCGTCACCCAGTGCGGACGCCGAACACGTGCACACAGCACTTGGAAACTTGTGGCTGCAGCTCTCACTTCCCGTCAGCCCACCCCAGGCAGACCGTGTGCTGTATGTCCCTGGTGGACAGTTTGCCTTTTGTGCCGGTCATGGAACTGTCACCTTTCCACAGCAGTGCTCTTTTGCAGGTCTTATTCAAGCAGTGTCACCATGCTGTGTTCCACCCATGCTGCCTCTCGGCGGTGGTGGAGCTGTGGCTCGCCATTGTGTGGAGGATCTGTGAGTCCTGCGGGCTCCATCTGCTGATGGCCATTGGTGCTGTTTTCAGTTTAGACCCTTGAATATGAGGCTGGTGTGATGATTGTGATACATTTGCATCTGTGTACTTTTACTTGCATATCCTGTGGAAAATCCTTAGACGTGAAATGGCTAGATCTTATTGTCAGAGTATGTTTCACTTAAAAAAATTGTTTTAGAACAACTCAGTAAATTACAATTCCAGGTTATTGTTGCACACTGACAAATGTTTGAAGTACCTTTTGCAGCAGTTTTTGGAAGCAGACTTGCCGTGATTTTTCTTTTGTTGTTATTGTTGGTATGATTTGGTGAGGATTGTAATATCACGTTTGGCATGATTACTGTATTCTGATTTTCGTGCATACAATCAGCCTGAGAAAATGCTAAGAACATTTCATAAAACTGAGTAGTTTTGTTTTGGAGAAAATTGAAAAAGACAAAAGAGTCACCTGTAATCTCACCAAACAAAGCTTTGCCGGATTTCCTTGTGTCCGTGCTTCCCTCACGACACCTTGCGTGGGCTTCATCCCCATGCAGACCTTGGTCTGCTGTCAGGAATTTGCACCGTTCACAAGTTTTATGTTTAATCTTTTAACTGAGATGGCCTCAACATAATACTAAATACATCCTCTGAGGATGTGCATATCTTATTATGAAGAGAATTTGAACTTTCTTTTCCTAAATTTTATTTTTTAATACTAAGAATTGAAGCAGTTTCCGTGGCTGTTGTTGTTTTTAAGTACATTTTCTCTTTTTATTTCAAGTAGATGTTAATAAAAATAGTATGACAATACTCTGCATGCATCTATTAAAGAATGAAGATATTTCATAACACAATAATTAGAGAACAATTGTTAATATGGTGTGCACAATGATCTCAGAGATTTCTTAAAGAGCTAGATTCCCGTGCACTTTTAAAATTTGTTTTTTTAACATTCTGAGACAGCGTCTAGTTAATTCACTAAATTTCCTAGGCTAAGTTTAAACACGTGATCCTCTTTCCTCGGCCTCCTAGAGTGCTAAGATTACAGGTGTACAATATCCTCATTTAGTACTTAACCTTAGTTGTGTATATTCATGGAATAACATATTCTGTTTGGATCTCTAGACACATTGCAGAAAGATTCAATCTAGTTAATACATCTACCACTTTACTATCCTATGGTTTCTTTCGCTGTGAATAGGATTACAAATCACACATTCAGCATTTATAAAAGATACACTTCGTAGGAACTGTGGTCACCATGCACGTCAGAAGATCACTAAAATTTCTTCTCCGTTGTTACTGAGACTTTGTATCCTTTGATAAACTTTGAATTCTCCATTTCTTCATTGAACATGGAATCTGACCATTTTTAACATTAATGTGTCCAAGACGGAGTGAAGGCTCAAGCTATTCAGGTCAGACTGCACTCTAGAAAGACCAGGCCAATGTAAAACACATCTTCGCCGACTCTCACACTTCCAGGTTTTTTTTTTCTATTCAATTTCTGCGTATTGAATGAAGGTTCTTGCACTAAAGTACTTTACATTCTACTTTTAAAAGCCTTTTCAGTTTGAACAATTTTTCGATAAGTGGCTGAACTTCTGAGGCTTCCCTTGAACTTGTGAACTCCCTGCCTCAGCCTCAGAGACTGCTGTGAGGCACTAACCCCAGACCTGGTTTCTTCATAGCTTCATTAAAAAATCATTGATTGGGGAAGGAATGGTGACAAATGCCTATAATCCCTGCAACTAGGACGCTAAGGCACCACCTTCACTGGGATTTCCAAAGAGGTAGACTGACCAAAAATAAGAAAGAAGAAGGAAAGAAAGAAAGAAAGAAAGAAAGAGAGGAAAGAAGGAAGGAAGGAAGGAGAGGCACTCAAAAGCAAACTCCTAGTGACTATGTGCTTTGGTTTGTATCTGGGATGTTTTAATCTGTGTGTCTGTTCTGGGTGCAGTATAAGATTGTTTTGATGGCTGTCAGTTTAAACTGTACCCTTTAAATCAGGTATCATGATGCCTCCACTATCTTCTTTCTATGTATACCATGAGGCTCTTTGCAGTCTTTTGTAGTTCCATATTCATTTTCATATTGTTTTTTCTATTTCTATGAAAATGTCATGATGTTTTGACAAGAAAGGCATTGATTTTGCTGGTTGCTTTTGGATAGTGTGGACATTAGAACAATATTATTTCTTCTAATTCACAATGATCGTATATCTTTCCTCCTACATGTGCCTCTCATTCACTTCATCAGTGTTGTATAATTTTGATACTAGAGACAAATTATGTTAAATTTTACGTAAATATCCATTCTTTTTGTTCCAATTATATATTGCATTATGTTCTTTGAATTTGAGGTGGTTAGGTGGAGGTATAGAAATGGATATCGTGTCTTGCAACACAACTGAATTTGTTCATCATTTCTAACAGAATTTTAGTGGATTCAGGTTTTCTAGATGCAAGGCTGTTTTCAGGAAACAGAGACAACACTTAATTCTTCCTTTCTGTTTGGAAGCCTTCTGTTTCTTCCTCTGGACTGAGGTCAGTAGCTAGGACATCAAGTAGTCCGTTGAACTGAAAGTTGCAAGGTGGGCAACCTTATCTTGCTCTTGACCTTAGAAGAAAATCTTTCAGGTTCTGGCTGTTTGATCATGAGGTGAGGTGTGGGCTTGGCACGTGTGAGGTGTGGGATGTGGGATTGGCACTGTGCCGAGGTCCGTTCTTTCTATACGGTGTATGTGAATAGTTTTTCTGAGGAAAGAATGTTGAATGTTTGAAATGCTTTTTTCCAAATGTGCTGAGGTGTTAGGATGTCTGTGCTTCGTTCTGTGGATGCAGGTTGTGATGCTGAATGATCTGTGCATGAGGAACCATTCTTGCTCTGCTCAGATTGATTGTAATGTTGATGGTGCTGCTTGAGCCTTTTAATGTGGGGTTCATTTAGCTTACTAGCATTGCCTTGAGTATGTTGGGTCTATATTCTTCAGGAATATTGGCCTAGCGTGTTTTTGTTTCATTGTGTTTTGTTTTTAATATACCTTTGTCTGCGCCATCGCTCAAGCACCAGGAGGTAGGCTGGGCAGGGATCCACTGCAGGAAGGAGAGCCACGCCTGCTCCCGACCCAGCCGCCATCGCTCAAGCGCCGTGAAGGTAGCTGCGCGGGCAACCCTGAACCCCCATAAGCCCCCCCTGGCACTCTCAGTCCTCCTGACTGTGCCAGTCTTTGGACCCACTCTGCAGAGGCAGAGGTGATGATCAAGGGTATTTTTCTGAGTTCCCAACTTTGAACATCTTTAAAGAAAGGCATGGGAAACCTGTAATAGAACGTTGTGGAGTTCAACTATTCAGAAGGTTGGGGAACTCAATGTGGGCCTTGCAGCCCGAGGTCAGTCAGCCTCAGGGGGTTCAGCCATCAGCTAACTGAGATCAAGGGTCTTGCATCCTCGCTCTGTCTGAGCCATTAAATGGTAAACACACTATATTGAAATTTTGTTCACTGCAGACATGTTCTGGACTGCTTCTTGATTTCAATTTAATTCAAACGATTTAAGGGTGACAGACTAGTGACTACTACCGGTGGTCAGTGTCAAAGTTGTGCTTGATCTTAATATGTTGCTGATTGTATCAGTTGGGGTAAAACATTGCGGCTGATTTGATGAGCTGTTTTCTCTGATGTTATGAAGATGAGAATGTCTGTGGGTCATTAGAGACACAGAAGCTAGGGGGCAACCACATCAGGAAGATTTGGGTGATAATCCAGAGATTAAACCAAGGACAGTCCGACAACAAAAATCAAAATGAGAAAACACTTAAGCAAGACACAAGGACAGACTTCCAGTTCACCAATGGCAGACAGTAGGGCAAATGAGGATGAAAAGGCCGATAGTGAACCACCAGAACACCCTGAACTCAAAGCACAGAAAATAACAAAACAGATCAATCAGGCTCTAGAAAAATTCAAAATAGAAATAATTTCCCAGATAACCATAGAGATAGTGAGCAAAATGGAAGTCGTGATTCGAGACTCTAGAGCAGAAACTGACAAAAAAATAGATGAGCTCAGGACCATGATAGAAGCCATGAAGGCTCAGCATAAGAAAGAAATAGAAACAATAAACAC